GTGGGGGGCGTGGGGCGGGCCGGGAGGGAGGGAGCAGGAAGCTCAGCAGCAGATCAGGCAAGCTGCGCAGGGCAAGAAGCAGAAAGCTGAGCGGCAGATCAGGCTAGGAGGGCATGGTGAGAAGCAGATCAGGCAGAAAGCAGAGCAACAGCTAAACCCTAGAGCACAGGACAAGAACAAGGAGTAGAAAGCTGAGCAGCAGATCGAGCTGGGAGCGGGGAGCAGAGCAGCAGACTGGGCAGGGAGCAGAAAACTGAGCAACAGATCAGGCTGGGAGCAGAAAGCAGAGTAACAGATAAACCCAGGAGCATAGGGCAAGGAGTAGAAAGCTGAGCAGCAGATTAGGGCTGGGACATCAGGGCCTATAAGCAGAGGAGCAGATCAGGCAGGGAGCAGAAAGCAAAGAAACAGGTCAGGTGGGGTGCCTAGGGGAGGGAGCAAAAAGCTGAGCAGCAGGTGAAGCTGGGAGTGCAGGGTAGGGAGCTGAGCAGCAGATCAGGCAGGGAGAGGAAAGCTGAGCAGCAGATCAAGTGAGGGGCAGGGTTTGGAGCAGCACATGGGAAGGGTGCGGGGCTAACTTGTGGCAGGCAAAGCAAAAAGGTTGGCCCTTACTGCTCTAGCCTAACAAGATAATAAGGAATGCTCACTTAAATAATCTTTTTTTTTATTTTTAACAGTCAGAAGTATTGAGAAGTGCAAACAAGCTTTGCTGTCCCCCTCCCACACGCACACAAAGTGATTGTCTCTTTATTGTGCCTCCTCCTTCCTTTCTTTACTTCAATTTGAAAAGTCTATTTTTATTTTTCTTAAAAGAGAGCAGGAACTCAGACTGGAAGTTGAGTTCAGTAAATCTCCTAATACAACTAGGTATGGTGGCAAGAGTTGGAAGAGAAGTCTTAAACACATACACTGTATGTTTTACAAAAGAGAAAATCACATTGTAAAAAGCAAGCAATACACAATAGCATCTCCACTTCATTAGGTGGTAAAGCCAGGTAACATTAGGGCTGACTTTCAAACATGGCTACCAAAATCTCCTGAATATAGGTGCCTTTTCCCCACTCCTCCCCACAAAATGGTACCTACATTTTTATTTAAATACTTAACAGTAGGTATCCTGATTGGAAGCTTTTGGCTTGCTTGTAAAAACAGGAAGCTGGAGAAGTATGGATCCCTGGGAAGCTCTATACTTGAATTGCTACAGCAGACCTAGAGCCCTCTTATTTTTCAGTCTTCCTTCTCTACCCATTGCTTGTGGTAAAACTGGTCTGCACAGCCAAACCCTAGATGATATGAGAAATGGAGAAACAGGAAAGAGGGAGGAAAAGAAAGAAGGAAAAAATGAAGAATAAACTACAGTAATTACTACATTGGTGGGAAGGTTACAGTATTAGAGTTTAATAATTCATAATACAGAGGGGTGTACAGCAGCCTAAACAAATGTAAGAGGGCGTATATGACAGCCAAAAATTTGCGAATCAGTGCTGTAGAGTGTCCTATTCATTTCAATAACAAATGATAGCATCTCTATAATGGTAACAGGACAGGTACAAGACTTACCAGAAAAAAATAGATGGAAGTTGTAATAACATTGGCTGGCTAATGTGTAAAATGGCTTTTGTAGTTTCATGCAGGGTCTAGTGGGCACGTCTTTATATCTCAGTACCACATCAAGTACCCTTTTGAAGACCTATCTACAGATGCTCTTCCTAGGTCATAACTGAGGCTTGCTTACAAACAATGCTCTTTTCCTGCTTTATTTGTGCTGTTGACACATTAATTCACTGCGCTCACAGGACTTAGGCATTGTAAGGCTTGTATTGCAGCACCTCATTTTTAAGGACTCTTGTCACCTCCTGAAATCCACAGTCCCAGGTTAGGCAACCAAGCTATTTATGCAATGAAGCCAGAGTTAGTCAATTTAGTGTGGGACAAAAGCTAATGCTCTGATCAGGTAGGCCAGTTAATATATCCAGTAGGAAATGCCAACAGATGTGAGGTTTAAGCTCTGCCTCTCACCAGGAATTCTCTTAACAGCTGGTTGTGCTTTTTAGCTGCAAGCGCTTCCCTGAAAGGAAGCATCCAAACCAGCCCTTAATATCATGAAATAAGTGGGAAGCACCATTTCCAGTTGTATCAGCATTAGTTGGAGCATTCACTTACGATGCAAGAGACTCAGGTCTCTGCTGGAGAGGACTCAAACCCACATTTCAGGAGAGTGATTTAACCACAAGGCTGTGGCTCAGACTGCCACCTCCACTTTCTCCTCCAAGTGGGGATTTTGTGAAGTTTAACATGTCCTTGAAAACGATTACTGGATTAGGGTATGCAGTCAGCATAGGGAGAGGAATGCCACAGCCCCACTGGGATTACAGATAGGCACATTGCTACTCAGTATTGTCAGGTTTCAGACAGTTTTCCACACGGATGTTAATTATCAAAAGGCAGCAGCTGAGAGCAATCTAAATTCTGGACTTGAGAACCTAAGATGGTAGCCCTTTGGTGGATCTGGCTCTTGCTGCCTGGAGGCTTGTTTCTTTCTATGTATATTTGGCCTTACAAAGTTTTGCCTTGTTCAGAGGATTGCACTGAAAGTGCAAAACAGCTCCACCTTGGTCTGCTAAGAATCAGAAAAGAGGGGCTGGAAGAGACCTCCAGAGTTCATCTAGTCCCAACCATGCATAAGGCAGGATCCTCCCTATCCAAACCATCCTATACAAATCCACTATTTAACCTATTATCAAAACTACACAGCCCCAGCACAATCACAAGACATGACACCCTAGCCTGCGAGAGGTAAAGCAGGGGGAGCACAGTGGCCAACATCTTGCTGTTGCAAGGTTGTTAAAATATGCTCAAGAAATTCAAGGAAGAGGGCCACATCCCCTACTACAGAGAAGGCAAAAACCCTCACAGTCCATACCAATCTGATCATGGGGTAAAATTCCTTCATGACCCAAAATCAGTCTGTCCCTGAGCAAAGGGGCAGACCCTCTAGTCAGGAACCTTCTTGTTTTAAGTCCCAGCAGAAGCACTGGTACACCCCAGTCAAAATTCCCAGCTTTGGCTGCAGTCAGCACCCAGTGCTTCTGAGGAAGGCTTCAAAAACAAAACAAAACCCCAGAAGAAAACCCTGACATATGTAGTGGCAGGAAAGGGAAAAAAAATCCTTCTTGGCCCCACATGCAAACCAACAAAACCCAGAAACATGGAAGATACCCATAGTAGAACATTGGCATAGCTGCTTCTAGATCATACCTGATTAATGCTTACCCAACCTCTTCTTGAACACCTCCAACTTCCCTAGGTAGTCTTTTCCACCGCCTCACTGTTCTATCAGTGTCTATGTTTTTCCTAATATCTAATCTAAAGCTATTTTGCTTCAGCCTCAAGCCAATGTCCATGTTCTACTCTGCAGCAAGAGAGAACAGGTGTTTTTTTTCTTCTTTGTGCCCTTCAGATATTTGAAGACTGATATCATGTCCCTTCTTAAGTGCCTTTTCTGTAAGATAAAATGCCTATTTCCTTCAGCGTCTTCTTGTATGATCTGCCTTCTAAGCCCTTTATCAATTTTGTCATTCACCTCTGGACTTCTCTAACCTCTCCATGTTCTTTTTAAAATATGGAGCCCAAAACTGCACACAAAACTCTTGATGAGGCTGGGCCTCTGCTGAGTAAAGAGGCACCATCACCTCCCGTGTTTTGGACCTAATGCTTCTATTGATGCATCCCCAAACTGCATTCACCAACAGGTAATTTAGGGTAGAATAAATGGAACAGACGATTGCAGAATGGAGGACTTCCTCTTCCACAAGAGAGTGCTTTGCCTTTCTGGAGAATGACTCCATTTGGTAGACTTTCTCCAGGTATTATCCACCCTGTGAGTTGCACCGAGTCCGGCACTATATTCAGAATGAAAATAGACTTCTGAGACACTACTTCCTTTTAAACTGGTGGTATACCTGCAGCTGGATATGCAGAGAAGATCTAAAAAATAAAATTGACAAAGACCCTGTAAATAATTGGAAAGAGTGAAAGACCATAAGTGCAAGAGACTGCTGAATCATAAAAAGCTCCTGCTGTCAATACTAGGACTTTTCCCACCTAGAAAATAAATAGAAGATTTTGCGTTGGCTTTGGTAGCAAGCACTCCCATCTGAGGGACTCCTCGCTTGCAAAAGACTTAAGTCAAAATCAGTCCTCTTAGAGACCATTTGTGTGAAATGAATTTTGCTGCCCAGGTGGTCTACCAGCTTACTGATCTCTCCAGGGAGGTTACAGCCATCAAGTTTACTTGCTTTATGATATACGATTCCTTCCCAATAGAAAAAGCTTTATCTTGTACTTTCCTCTCTACCTATGTAATATGTGTCTATTACTTTGTTCTCATTAAACCTAGGAATAAAACTGCTCTCTCTTTCAGAAATGGCAGAAACTTCTGCTTGTGACCAAAATCCATATGTTTGAAACTGACTCAGTTGTGCCCCTTCCAATCACTTTTGGGAGGTATCGGTGACCAACATCTTAGGAGAAAATATAATTTCTAGGGCACTGGTTCTCAACTTCTTAAGACTTGGGGCACCCATCAATAGACCGCTTTGAAAATACCAGCTCCTACTTTTCACTTGTGTTTTGAGTACAGAAAAATACAGCAATTCTTCCATTACAAATAAGCTTAGCCAACAACAGGTCAGAATGTTTAACACTATGGCTCCCTGTCTGAAATTTCTGGTTTTAATCTTGTGAGTCATGTTTTCACACCTAACAGTGCTAACATTTTCTGGTACCCTGTGGTATC